ACTCTAAAAACTCCACCAGAAAAATCTGACAAGCACCACTCTTAGGGGGCATAAAACCATAGCTAAAATGAGAATTTTAAAACACTGAAGAAAATAATTAAAGACAACAGTACAAGATGCAAAGATTCCCCATAGTTATGGACTAGCAGAATTAATGTAAAAAGAGGCATGATTAAAAAGCAATTAACATAGTCCATACAATGAGTTCAAAATACTAAAGATATTGTTAATAGGGGTACAATACCCAAAAATGCATATGGAAGCACAAAAGACAATGGATAGCCAAAGAAATCCTGATCAATAAAAAAATAAAGTTGGTGCTATCACCATATCAGATCTTTAGTTATTCCATAGAGACAGTAGCAAAACAGTAGGGTACTGGCACAAATATAGACATGTAAATAAATGCAGTAGAATATCTAGTTGTAAATCTGTGTAACTAACACCTCATTTTTATCCAAGATACCACTCACAATAATACAAAAATAGCCTACTCCACAAACTGCTGCTGAGAATCCACATTTAGAAGAATAAAAATAAAATCCTATTTCTTACCTTATAGGAAAAAAAAAAGTTACTGTATAGTAAAAGGAACAACCAAGTGAAAAATCAGACAATGGGAACAAATCTTTGTTCATCACACAACTAACAAGAATTAATATGTAAAATATTCAGTGAACTAAAGAACCTAATAATAAAGAAATCAGACAAACTAAAAATGAGCTAAGTGAAATGAACAGTTCTCAAAGCTCAACTACAAATGGCCAATGAATGCATGACCCTCCTTCCTCCTCACACCAATCCACAAGAATTAAAACTAGTGTGGTTTTCAAACAATTATGACTACATTATTTTTTTGTATTTCACTTCTCTAGTCCATTATCCACAGTATGGGAAGTCTTCTAAAAGACTGCAGAGGTTAAGGAGACCTCCAGAAAACAAGCGGTTAGACAATTTATAGTACCATTCATCTGATACTACCTTTTTGTAATAAGTTTGTGCTATCAAATTTAAGTTTGTGCTTTCTGGAGACAAATGAAATACAACTTGCTTCTAAGAAAATCATATCTACAAATTTACTTTATTAACCCTTAGGTTGATCTTTGTTTTTTCATTCTATTGGCAGTAATGGGGATTAAAGCCAAGGTTCAACATGTGTTTAAAAACTGATCTTTCATTTGCACCACATAAATACTGTTTTCTCACTACCTCATTTTACTAACCGAATTATCAACAGAAGAATTATAACTATTATTTTTCTCATAACTCTCATACAAAGAATGCCTCTATTTCATATGTACAATTCAGGTTCCTTATCCACCATGATAGAAAAATAACATCTAATGCAAGTGGTGCTATTTCTGGCCATCACTCAGCTTATACCAGGAAAACTCAAACGTTTTTGTCTTGATAGTCACGAGATAGAGATTGTAAGTCACTTTTTAAAATAGATTTGTGTATTTCTACTAGCCTAAGAAAGATGACATGTTCGTTTTGATGACAGTTGAAAAGTAAAAGTGCAAAGAAAGGCTGGCTGTGATGGCCCAAACCTCTAGTACAGCATTAGGGATGCAGGAGCAGGTACATATATGAGCTCAAGGCCAGCAAGGTCTAGATAAAAGAGTTCCAGACCAGTCAATACTGTATAGTGAGTTGTCTCTAATACATAAACACACACACACAGGGAAACATGGGGGAGAGGGAAGGAAGAGATAGACCAGAGACTGAGATTAGAGACCTTTGGAATAGGTATCTCTAAATGAGATGTCTCCCTCACTCACTCTTGAATTCAGAGAATCCCAAGGAAGAGGAGGCAGAATGTAAAAAGCAAGAGGAAATGGAAGTCACCAGAACAAGACCCTCTAAATCAACAGAGCAAAGCTCATATGAACTCACAGACAGAAGCAGTAAGCACAGATCCTAGGTGGGTCTGCATCAAGTCTTATGTGTATATTTTACAGTTTCAAGGTTAGTATCTTCTTCTTTTTTTTTTTTTTTTATGGGACTCCTGAGTGAAAAGAAGTGGGCCTCTAATTCTTGTGCCTGCTCTTGGGTTGACTTGTCCAGCTTCAGTGTGATGATTTTGGCATTTGGTTGTTATCTCTTAGAAAACTGTTCTTTTCTAATGAGAAGGAAGTGGATCCAGCGGAGAGAAGTGAGGAGGAAATGAGAGGAGTACAGGGAGGGGAACTGCAATTAGGATATACTGTATGAGAAAATAATCGATTTTTAATAAAAGAATGTTAAAAAGACAAGGAAAGTTGAGTCTTTTAAAGTTGGATTTCTTGTTGGGTAACAATTTGCTGAATTGTACTTTCTGATGACTACAAATAGCAGTAGTGATCTCTGTTATGATGATTATGTGTCCACAAGGACAAAACTGGCACTATAGAGATTATACACAATGAATATTTTATTTAAAAATCTCCATGTTTTTAGCCAACTTTACACCAAGTGACTGAAGCATTAACAGTGTAGGCTAAGATAAAGTTCACTAGTTTGGACGCAATAAACAGACATCTCATTTACATTTTTCCTTACCATAATTGATTTGAACGTAGTCTTGTAAGTCTTGTGAAGTTAAAAGATATTGATGGAAAATAAAATCCAATATATTTTATGAACTCCAATAAGAAGTCAGTCTATGGAACTGCCTATGTAGACTAGGTGGGCCTTGAGCTCAGAGATCTGCCAAGTTTGGAATTAAAAGAGTGTGCCAACACATCCTGTAATTAACATTTTTGAGACGAGATTAACTTGTACACATGATTTACATCCTCTCACTACAGCCTTCCAAGTGAGAAAATCATTTATAATGATATAATTATATTCAGCCCCTCAGTACTGCTCAACCATAACAAAAACCAAGCTACACTGAATGGTGGTCAGTTTGGGTGGGTATATGATTTGTGAGTGTTGGTCTCCTTGGAGGTCAGCTATCCTGGATCTAGCAGAGCTGGAGGTGGATGTGGCTGTGAGCAGCTGCACCCAGGTTCTGGTTCATAAATTCAGATCCTATGCAATGTCAATGAATCCTCAAAATAGTTGAAACATGTGCAACATTTTCAATACTAGAAAATATTCCTTATAATTAGTTACAGAGCTTAAAACAGTGTAAAAAAAAATCTTATTTGGTGGCAGGGTTTAGCAGGTACTCCAGTCTGTCAAAGTACCAACTCTTGAAGGTTGTTTTCTTCTGACCTTCACTCTTACACACACAAACGCACACACACCAAAACCCAAAAAACCCAAACATTTTGTTATTTGGAGAAAATACACATTACACTGGGTGGTCGTAGTGCATGCCAGTAATACAGAACTCGGGAGGGAGAGGCAGGCAGATCGCTTGAGTTTGAGTCCAGCCTGGTATACAGAGCATGTACCAGGACAGCCAGGGATACCCTGTATTGAAAAACAAAACAACAACAACAATAACAACAAAATTAACACTGATACATTTTCAATCTCACATCAAATACAACTATTCAATAGCTACTTAGAGGGCTGGTGAAAAACGTACATGCTCATAAACTTGACAACCCAAGTTCTATCTTAAGGACTCATGTGTTAAGATTATTCCCTGACTCTAAATGTACATTGGGGACCCACATGCCTAAAGACACAATAAGTAACTGCAATTTTATAAAGTCACTATAAATATAGCCTGCCAGATTATAAATTTATTTCAATTCAATGAACTCAATATAGCTCTAGTAAAGGGTAAAGCATCATCTCATGATTTAACACCACACATTAAAAAATATCAATTTACGTGGCTGAAACGCAATTGATTTAGCAAAAGTTTCATTACCATAATTCAAATGAGTTTATGTTTGTGCTCTTTAAGGTAGTATCTTCATGGTCTTCAGATGTTCATTTACTCTCTTGTCTCAGAGTTTTATACAGCAGGGATGACAGTCATGTGCAATCATACTTAAATTATTCACTAAGTTATACTTTCAATAAAAAAGTATTATACAGTCAAGAAGTCGCAAGGTTGTTACTTTATCCAGGGTGTTCCCAAAACCCATCTCCACCCAACCTAAAAGTGGGGACTTCTGCCCCTAGACCAAGCAGAGAGGGGCCACCCAGAACACCCTCTGGCAGGCGACCTGAATTCTTGCTTAGGCTGCAAGGCTAAGCACTGCAAGGGAATACCAATAAAAGTTAAAAATATCTCTCTGGGTTCCCTGAGGGACAAGCCTGACTGCATAGGGGTTGATGTCAAAAGTATTCCCTCTCCAGGAAAAAGACATCAGGACGGGTATGGCCCTCATGCCTCACTGGACAACAACAGGGGTATCGGAGCCACTACAAGGTCCCCTTCAATTACTGGAGGTCAGGCCTCTATCTCCACCTTCGTAAGATTAGATTCGCCACAGCCTGTCTATATTTAGAGAAGGGAGGAGATGTCAGGGGCATCCCTGCTTATACACTGAAGGCCTAAAATCAGCCATAGGCCTAAAATCAGCAATAGGCCTGTCATACATGTATACTAACACCAAGTCTTGGGTCTCTGTGGATAAACACTGAAACAGATGGCTATAAGCTATTGTAAACTGGCAGTTTTTGTGGAAATTTACCAGCCTGAGTAGTCACAGACCTTGTAAATAGGTAGCCTTGGCAGATAATACCAACTTAGATAAGGACAAGGGAATCATAGGCAGAGCCATGGCGACCTGTCCCCTGAACCCTCACCCAGCCGATACCCTGTTCTGAAAGATATCTGTATTCCCCCTGAACACCCACGCTCCAGTGTCATCACCTTCCCCACATCCTGCCTTTTTGTGTTTATAACCCCTGTGTGAATGAGTACAAATTACAGTTTGAAAAAAATAAATAAATTTATATATATATACACATATATACACACACACATATATATATATATATATATATATATATATATATATATATATATATACACACACACATATATATATGAAGTCTCAAGTAAGAATAGGCAAAAATTATAAACATATATAAACTTTACGTAATCCTTTCAGGTCATTTCAGGAATATTTTATTTACGTATGTTAATTTGCTTAAGGTATTTGCACTCACTTTTTAAGGTATTTGCAAAACTCAACTATAAAGAAAATTTAGAATTTTTACCTCTTTACAACATTCCTTTTCCTTTCTGAGTTTCATGTAGCTTAGGCTGACCTTGAAATAGTTATGTTAAACTAACTACCCTCCTCCCTTTTTCTGAGACAGGGTCTGAGTATCCCTCACTGGCCTGGAGCTCAGACAGACCTGCCTAACTCTTCCAAGTGGTAGAATTAAAGGTGTGTGCCAGCACACCTGGATCTCTCATGTTTTAACAGTGACAAGTTAATTTGCTTGAAAATAGTGTTTTCTTAAATCTCACAAATTGTATACCAAACCCCTATATTCAGTGTTGTCATTTTCTAGCCTCTGTCCCCACAGTGTTGGAATAAAGGCATACACTGTGATGCCTGATGCAGGAGCAGGTGTACATCTATGTACACCTGCACATATGGGGAAAATTACACTTATAAGTTTTATATTATGACAAGTATATCTCCATTCTTTTAAAGGCTTATTATCTTATGTATTTTGTGTGTATGTACATGTATGCAATGTTCAGAGCCCAGAAGGTGTCAGATGACCAGGAACTGGAGTTACTGGTGGCTGTGAGTCACCACATGGGTCCTCTGCCGACACACCAGGTAAACAATTATTTAGCCATCTTTCAAGCCCCATCTGTCCACTTGATTTTTTTTTTTGGAAAAAGTATACACAGAAAACTATAAAATATAAGGCTTGTTTTTAAAATGTCATTCATAAAAAAAGCAAGTTAAACGCTGGTGTGATGACTTAGATAGGTCCTGTTGCTGAGATTGAGGATCTGAGCTCCATCACTAGGACTTATATAATGGAAATATGAGAACTGAATCCAGAAAGCTGTCTGCTGCTCCCCATAGATACACTAAGGCATGAGTGTATTCTTGCCCCAAACCTCATGCAAATAAACAAACAAACACATGATAAATAAATATTCTCAAAAGCAAGTTGACTAGTTACATATAGCTTACACAGGTACAAGTTCTATCCAATGGGTTTCTTTCCATTGTGAGATCTTTCATGCCTTCGAAGATATAAGAAACATGTAAATGCTTTCCCACACTGGTTACACTTGTAGAATTTCTCTCTAGTAGTGTGAGTTCTTTCATGTATTTGAAGGGATTTGGAAAAGGTGAATGCCTGCCCACATTCTACACATACATATGGTTTCTCTCTAGTGTGAATTTTTTCATGCCTGTAATGAGCACTAGAATGGGTGAAGGCTTTCCCACAATATTTACATGTATGGGGCTTCTCTCCAGTGTGAATTCTTTCATGTTTTCGAAGGTATGAGGAGAGTGTAAATCCTTTCCCACACTGCTTGCAAACAAAGGTTTTCTCTGCAGTGTGAATTCTTTCATGGTTGTAACAGTTGCCCGTACTGATAAAGGCCTTCCCACAATGTTTACATGCATAAAGTTTCTTTTCACTGTGAATTCTTTCATGTTTGTGAAGGTTTGAGGACCGTCTAAATGCTTTGCCACATTGATCACATGTATAACGTTTCTCTCGAGTGTGACGTCTTTCATGCTGAAGAAGTTGATAAGAATGAATGCATGCTTTTCCACAATGTTTACATATGAAACTCTGTTCTCTTTTGTGAGTTTTTTCATGATTATGACGGGCCATGGAATACAGAAAAGTTTCACCACAATGTCTACATGAGTATGTTTTCTCTCTTGTGTGAATTCTCTGATGTTTGGTCAGGTGACTGAAATTAACAAAGACTTCTCCACACTGCTTACACTCAAACGATTTTTCTCTAGTATGGATTCTTTCACATATTTGAATATAACTTTCTTCCTTTAAGGTTTTCTCAAAGTGTTTACATTCATGTAGCTCATCTCCAGTGTGAGCTCTCTCATAATCTTGATGAGAAGTGAGATTCGTATAAGATTCACTGGTCTGTTTATTTTCACAAATAGTCTCTGTAGCAGGAACCCTCTCAAGTGTTTGGAAGGATTCAGAATAAATAACATCTTTCGAACATTTTTCATGTTTGATAGCCTTTTCCACGAGTTCCTGACATCTGTATGGTTTCTCTTCATTTTGATCTCTTAGGAGCACATCTGAGGATGAATGCCCATTGATGTCTTTTACAGTCACACTGCTTTCATAGACTGTGATTGCAGGATGACTCTCCCCATTAACAATATGCTCTGTCATCTGTTGGTGGATCTTTCCACACTGACTAACACGTTCATAGTCACAGAATTTCTCAACCACCTGAAATCTGGGGGGGGGGGGGGGGGGGGACAGAGGGAGGGAGGGAGAGCGAGCGTCCATTATTCCTGTTTTATAACTAGGTAGGTACTACATGACAGATTTTGTGGCCTCTACCTGTTATTGCAGTCAGTATTCAGAAGACAGTGGCAGAAAATGAGCAAGTTGAGTGCAAACTAGGCCTATCCCAAGACAGGGAGAAAGGCAGAGTTTATTACAATTTATGAACATAAAAGAACTGAGCACTCAGCAACAAGTGCTGAGGACAGCATAAAATCATAAAAGGTTCTATAGAATTATTTTGTTAAACATTGTCTATGACACAGTTAACAAAGGTGAACTTTCCTAATGCAATAAAATACAGATCAGACATCAAATTCTAAATAGTTAAATATCCTTTATGCAATTTATTGAAGATAGATTTTGATTTAAACTCTAAACTTACCTTCCTTCACACACAAACCTTATGTTTATAAAGCCCAAAGGTAACTTGCTAACAATACATCAAAAACTTCTGTACACAAAAGGCAGTTTTGTAAAATGAACTGGAATGTATAAATAAGGAAAATAGCTAAAGAAGAATTCTTTCTGCTACTGCTCCCTCAAAAGCACAGTACGAGGTATAGGCCACAAAATCCACATTAGTACTACATGAGAGTCAGGATCATCCATTCTGGAATTCACAAGCTCCGTAAAGGTTTACAAAAAACTTTGAAGTTAAGTCAATTTACATTTTGATCTATTTGGATCACTTTCTAATTTCCCAGATTTGTCGTCCCTCTCAAGTACCTGATGCAAATTGCCTTTTCTGTGCATGTAAATTACCTCAGGTTTCTCTGGAGCTTTGTGTAGTTCACATCCATACTTTCTTCCTCTGTCTTCCCTAAAAATGAACAGCAAGAAATCATTACATTATTCCTCCTTATATACAAGTCATTACTTTCTAGCTTTTTTCTTCTATAATGTTATATTTACCACCATGTTCCCTTTCAGTATTTCAAATCATAAAATTATACAGATGACTAAGAAACAGTTTTTCTACACATGAATAAGAAATTATATTGGTGGTGGTGATTGTTTTTGTTGTTGTTGTTACCTATGGAGATCAGGTTCATAAAGGTTTCCATCATCACATCTCTGTAGAGCTTCTTTTGGTAAGAATCCAGCAGAGCCCATTCTCCTAGACTGAAGTTCACAGCCACATCCTCAAAGGTCACTGGCTCCTAAAATTATCCACAGGTGTAATTAAAATGCAGCTATTAGAAGAATGATGGAAATAGCCTGAAAATACATTAGTGACTTGATAAGTTTCCTTCATGCTTTCTTAGTATATTCACTTTAAATCATGGTCACTATACATTTATTAATTATCCTCTCATCTTGTCACACAATTCTAAGGATAGTGTATATAGTAAAGGAAAACGATATCACAGTGCTTTGTTGTGATGCTGGTTTCAAACTATTCTTTGTATCTTACAGCACAAGTTTCTACAACTTAGAACCCAGAATAAACATCAGCTCTGCTGATCAAGTACAATTATTGTACTTGATCACTGCTACTCACAAGTTTATAATAATATAAAATAGTATTTTGTAAACTATTATCCTTGTCATTGAATACGGAAACATGGTCTTTATAATATCAAAACCCCAAAGAAAATTTACGTAAAAAATCTATCATTGGTCTCAAAGATAAAAGGAAACATCTACTGACACAATTTGTTACTTAGTGATCACTGAGAACATTCTTTCATGATGTGCTCAACATGAGTTGCATCATTAAGAAGTCTGTTTTTATAAAATGAGTGTATAGAAGAATATTAATTAAAAAACAGATGGGTTTTTCATAGACAAACCTTGACTTAATACTAAGTAAGACTTACAAATGGCAATTCGCTGTGGTCAATTATAAATAATACACTTTTTAAAAAAATAATGTCAGTGGACAACGACACTACAGGAATGATGGCACATTAATGTCAAAAAACTTATTATGATGGCTCTATGAAATTATGTAATTCCCTCAAAAATTTTAGATTGTTAACAAGAATTACTTATCCAAACCTGTATGTAATAATAAATGTTTGCTACCATTAAAAACATTAGGATTAAGGAAATGATAGCTTGATTCGGATAACTGAATGCAAGACCTTAAATTCAAGGCCTGCCTGGGGTGAATAGCTAATACTAGAAAAAATAAAAAAGAATATAAACATTTTAAAACTATACTACACATAAAGACAAGATGAACAGAACAGAATATACAGTAGATTTAGTGACATGAAATTCAAACAGAATTGCTCCTGTCTAAAGGAAATACAAGAACAAAGAATGGAACAGAGACTGAATGAAGGAAAGGCCCTCCAGAGACTGCCCCATCTGGGGATACATTCCATATGCAGATACCAAACCCAGACACTATTGCTGATGCCAAGAAGTGCTTGCTGACAGGAGCCTGATAAGAGATGTCTCCTGAGAGGCTCTGGCAGAGCCTGACAAATATAGATGAGGATGTTCGCAGCCACCCTTTAGACTGAGCATGGGGAACACAATGGAGGAGTTAGGGAAAGAACTGAAGGAGCTGAAGGGATTTGCATCCCCATAGAAAGAACAATAATATCAACCAACCATACCTCCCCCAGAGGTCCCAGGGACTAAACCATCAACCAAAGATGGACCCATGGCTCCAGCTGCATAAGTAGCAGAGGATAGTCCTGTCAGGCATCAATGAAAGAGGAAGCCCTTGGTTCTGTGAAGACTCGATGCCCCAGCATAAGGGTGAGGTGGGAGTGGGTAAGTGGGCCCTCATAGAATCAGGCCGAGGGAGGATTGCACAGGGGGTTTGTGGAGGGGAAACCGGGAAGGTGGATAACATTTCAAATGTAAATAAATAAAATCACCAATACAAAATGTAAAAAAATGAAATTCAAACAGAAAATTCATGAAGAAGAGAGAAGACCTTGATCAACAATGAGTCTGATTGCTATATAAAGTGGCTATTCCATTGGCAACAATCAAGGTTTGTAAGAAATGGGGAAGATAAAATAGTACCATGTGTCTCTCTATTTCTCAACAGGGAATTCTCAACAGAGGAATCTCAAGTGGCCAAGAAACAATGTTCGATATCCTTAGCCATCAGGGAAATGCAAATCAAAATAATCCTGAGGTTCCATCTTACAACACAAGTGACAGCACATGATGAAGAGGATGTGAAGCAAGGGGAACACACCTCCATTGCTGGTGGAAGCACAAATTTGTACAACCAGTTTGGAATTCAATTTGGTGGCTTCTCAGAAAATTGGAAACAGTTTTACCTCAAGACCCAGCTATACTACTCCTAGGCAAATACACAAAGGTCAATCCATCCTACCACAAGGGGACTTACTCAACTAAGTTTATAGCAGCTTTATTCCTAATAACCAGAAAATTGAAACAACCTAGACGTCCTTTAACCAAAGAATGGATAAGCAAATTAATGGAACTAGAAAAAGAAAATCATCTTGAGGAAGGCAACCTACACCCAGAAAGACATAGTATGTATTCACTTGTGAGTGGACATTAGCTATTAAAAGACAACCATGCTACAATCCATAGCATAGAGAAGCTAAATAAAAAGGATGGCCTAAGGAGGGTAGAAAGGGGGAGATGCAAAGAGAAAATAGAATAGATTTTGAAAGTGGATTGGGAAAAGTGGTGATGGGAATACAAGAGATCAGATGGGGTTGGGGGAGATAGAGAGAATACTGGGAGAGACCACTGGAATTTTGGGGCATTTCAGAGGCAAGGCAGAATCTTAGTGCAATGGACTATACGAGGGTGATCTTAGCAAAGACTCCTAGTAAGAGGCAACATGGTACCAGAACCAAACATCTTCAGTAACCAGGCTAAACCTCAGGTGGAGGGATTGGGATACCAACCCAGCCACAAAACCTTTGACCTACAATTGGTCCTGCCTACAGGATGTGCTGGGACTAGAACCAAGCATAACTGTCATGAAAGAGACCAGAGAGACTCCATCCAGCAATTGATGGGAGCAGATGCAAAGTCCAAACGCCAAATATTAGGCGGACCTTGGGGAGTCCTTCAGAGGAGGGGAAGGAAGGACTGGAGGAGCCAAAAGGGTCAAAGACATCACAAGAACAGTGCACAGAATCAACTGACCAGGACTCATGGTGGCTTGCAGAGATCAGGGAGCCTGTATGGGTCTAACCTAGGCTCTCTGCATACATGTTATGGTTGTGTAGTTTGATGTTCTTGAGGGATTCCTAGCAGTAGGAGTGGGGGCTGTCTCTGACTTGTGTTTGCTTTGGGGACCTGTTTTCTCCTATTGGATTGCCTCATCCAGCATTGATATGAGAGTATGTGCCTGGTTCTATTGTAGTTTGTGATGCCAAGTCTGGTGGATGTTCTGTGCGAGGTCTGCTCCTTTCTGAAGAGGGTGGGGGAATCTGAGGGAGAGGAGAGGTTGGCAGGAGACTGGGAAAAGGTAGGGAGAGGAAAATGCAATCAGGATATAATATATAAGAGTATTTTTTTAAAAAAAGTAGAATCCTGTGGTACATGTAGTAATTTCAAAGTATGACGTGGACTGCAAGGTAACCAGCGCTGCTTGAACAAGTTCCAGCATACTGACATTACAGATCACAATTCTCCAGCATTCTTCCACTTGCATCTTTGATGATTTTCACTATATGTAATGGGAGTTTCCGTATGCTTTTTTCTTTGGGATATTTTGCATAGACTTTAGTAGAAGACATGAATGTATACACTGGCAGTCTCTTTAAACAACATAGTTCTTTGGAAAAAATCTCAGCCTACTTCTACACAAGAATCCCCTCACCCCTTACCTCCTGCTTCCTACCCGTTTGTACCAAGAATAGAGAAGTTAAAGATTTTTAACTGAAAGGTGGTTCCAGGAACTCTCAGGAACTTACACTTGTCCTAAGGATAAAAGCACACAGTCAAGAGAAACCCTGGGCCCAGACCTGAGGCCTCAGCAGCTCAGGCAACAGTTCAGTTAATAAGTATAGAAGTGTCCATGACTGATTCGCTAGGTACATGACTTACAGGAGGAATGGCAAGATCTGGTATGCCCCATGAGAGCAGATTCTGTTAAGAAGCTAGACTGGCTTGATCCCACTCTCACATAAAGGAGCATACACTGAATTAATTAAGATGGTATGGCATATTGGAAAAAAAAAATAAGAAGATATCAACACCTTCTCTTTGGGGAGCGTATGAGGAGAACAGGCCCATAGTGTTAAGACTAAGGCACACAGGAATGTAATTAGGAAACAGCTTAATGCTTATTAAGCTATATGGCCAAGCACTGCCCCTTGAGGAATGAAAATAGCTCTTATAAGTTTGCTTCTCAGGACTCAGTGTCTGGCACTCCTGACCACAAAGGCTGAGAGTGTGCTGGCAGAAATATAAAAGGGCACCTGGTAGGTTTATTGAACCATAGATAATAGGGACTTAGATGTTTGTTAACTTATTGCTTTTGCTTCAAAGAAGAATACTGTAATAAAGTTGATTACCTCTTTCATTCTGGATGCTAAAAAATAGGGCTAAAATAGGTTTAAAACCCCTGTAAAAAGATGATACATCTCTTAGAATCAGTCTGCTTTCAGCATTACTTGTGATTAAGCTACTATGCAAATATAGAATATAAAAAGTGTAGCCTTTTTTTTTTTCAATAAACACACAAGCTATTCTGACTCCCCTCAGAGTGTATCAGTCTCTTTCCCTCACCGACTGCATACCTCCCCTTTGGGACCTGAACCCTGCTAGAACTGGACTTCAGCAAAAGTAACTACAAACTAGTGACACTGACACAGACAGAAAGAACACTGAAATCTGCTTTAGACTGTGTGTATAATCAGCCTTTGTCATCCTTGTCTAACAGCTAGATTTTGTCAAAAAAAAAAAAAAAAGTAACAACAAACCTGAGAACTTTAAAAGTCGTTTAACTAACCTTTGGATATAAGCAAGGAACAAGTTCTTTCTATAGAACGTACAAAGAAATGTAATACACAAAAATTAAAGGAAATGGAAGTCAACAAAACAGTACCTGCAGTGCATGCAAATTATACATCAAAGGACTAATGTACACAAAATGTAAATAAATAAACATATGGCTGAAAATATCCACTAAAAATAAAACATAGGAAATAAGACCCATAGTCCCGAGTGAAGAATTTAACAAGTAAAATGTGTAGTTTTG